GGGTATACTTTCGTATCTTATTGACCGCCTCGACTTGTCCATTTGATTGTGGATGGATCGGCGCCGAGAAGTCTTTCCGGATGCCTAAGCTATCGCAGAATCTGGGTGATGAGGCGTTGTCGAACTGCTTTCCGTTGTCGGATATTATTGAGTGGGGAACCCCAAACCTACATACGATGTGGTCCCACATAAATTTAGTACAAACCGCTTCCGTGGTTGCAGTTAGAGCCTTTGCCTCTGCCTACTTCGTATAGTAGTCCATCGCAACGATTGCAAATTTAAATCCTCCGGGTGCAAGATGTAACGGCCCGATCAGGTCAACCCCCCATTTGGCGAAGGGCCAAGGGCTGAGAATGGAAGTTAAATTTTCTGGGGGTGCCCTAGGAATTGTGGCATACCTTTGGCATTTATCATAACGCCGGGCGTATTGAAAAACGTCCTTTTTTAGCGTGGGCCAATAGTATCCTTGCCTTAAAACCTTTAGAGCTAGAGACTGCCCTCCAGTGTGGTTACCACAGACTCCCTCATGAATTTCGTGGAGGACCTTCTGGGCTTCGGCATCATCCAAGCACCGCTGTAGAGGGGTTGAGTAGCCTCGTTGGTAGAGCAAGCCTTCGTACAATAAGTACCTAGCAGCTCTATACCTGATCCGTTTGGCTTCGTCTTTGTCGTTCGGCAGTTGTGCATCCATTAGGTAATGGATGAGTGGAGTCATCCAATTTTCTCCTACTTGGACGATTAACGCCTTAACCTTTTCTTCGATAGTTGGGCGCTCTAATTCTTCGATAGGAACGACCCCTAGTGTGTCGGATTCTCTAGAAGATGCTAGCTTTGCCAGAGCGTCGGCGTTCGTATTTTTGGGTCGTGGTATCTGGAGTATCTCGTAGTTTTTGATCTTAACGAGTTCTTCTTTTACCTTTCTCAAGTACGCTCTCATCTTCTCGCCGCGCGCTTGGTATTCTTCCTTTATTTGCGCAACGACCATTTAGAATCACTGAAGACGCTGAGCCTTTCGATCTTCAGGTGGCTAGCTAACCGTAGTCCGGCAATTAGTGCTTCATATTCCGCCTCATTGTTCGACGCCTTGAATTTAAATCGAACCGCCGAGGTAACCTTGTGGCCTTCGAGGCTAATTAATAAGACGCCGGCTCCTAACCGCTTTCGCTCGACGCCCCATCTACGTAGAGCTTCCATTTTGTAACCTCGACTTCTCCAGATGTGGTGGGAGCTGGTCTATGAGAGAACTCGGCCAGAAAATCGGCGAGCGCTTGTCCCTTGATCGCAGTCCTTGGCACATATTTTATGTCGAACTGGCTCAATTCTACCGACCATTTGAGGAGTCGACCGGAAGTTTCGGGCTTTTGTAGGGCCTGTCTCAGCGGGTGGTTTGTGAGAACTCGTATTGTGTGAGATTGAAAGTAGTGTTGAAGCTTCTTTGAAGCTATCATCAGGGCGAGGGCTAGGCGCTTCATTTCGCTGTATCTCGATTCGGCGTCGAGGAGCCTTTTGCTCACATAGTAGATCGGCAATTGCACCCTCTCTTCTTCTTTTACTAATACGGAGCTTACGGCGTGTTGGGACACGGAGATGTATAGGCTAAGCTCCTCATCAACGTTTGGTTTTGACAAAATTGGGGGCTTGCCCAAATGTTTCTTCAATTTTTAGAAGGCCTCCTTACATTGTGGTGTCCACTCAAAGCGTTTGCTTCCCTTCAAAGCGTCGAAGAAGGGGACGCATTTGTCGGTTGCCTTTGATATGAACCTGTTTAGGGCGGTGACACATCCTGTTAATCTTTGCACTTCATTCGGTTTTGTTGGGGAGCACATATCCTGTAAGGCTTTGATTTTCTCGGGGTTTGCTTCAATCCCGCGGTTGCTGACCATAAAACCGAGAAATTTCCCCGACCCAACTCTAAAGGCACATTTCTGGGGATTGAGTTTCATGTGGTATTTCCTTAACACACCAAAACGTTTCCCCCAGATGATTGATGTGATGGCTGGCCCTGGTACTTTTCACAAGCATATCGTCGACGTAGACCTCCATCGTTTTGCCGAGCTGTTGAGCGAACATTTTATTCACAAGCCTCTGGTAGGTGGCTCCTGCATTCTTTAGGCCGAAAGGCATCACCTTGTAGCAGTAGAGACCCCTGTCGGTTATAAAGGATGTGTGTTCCTCGTCGGCCGGATGTATGGGGATCTGGTTGTACCTGGAGTAGGCGTCCATAAAGCTCAGCATCTCATGTCCCGCCGTGGTGTCGACCATTTGGTCTATTCGAGGGAGTGGAAAGCCATCCTTTTGGCAGGCTTTGTTGAGATCGCTGAAGTCGACGCATGTCCTCTAGTTCCCGTTGGGCTTAATCACTAGAACAGGGTTTGATACCCAACGTGGGTAATGGGCCTCCCTGATGAACCCGTTATTGATCAACTTATCGACCTCTTCTTTCAGCGCTTCATACCTCTCGGGGTTCATCGGTCGACGTTTCTGGCGCTTAGGCGGATATGAGGGGTCGACGTTTAAGGAATGACATATTACCTCAGCGTCAATCCCTTCCATGTCGGAATGATTCCAGGCGAAGACATCTAGGTTCTTCCTGAGGAAGTTTTCGGTCTCACCCTTAAGTGATGTGGCTAAGCTCGAGCCCACTTTCAGCACCTTGGTGGACTCACCGTCATTAACTTGGATTTCCACCAACTGCTCGACGGGTTGAGACCATGTGACTTCCTCTTGGATCCTGGGGTCGATGTCCTCAACGAGGCCCTGGTGAACCATCCTTGTCTCCTGTCTTCCTGGCTGATCATATCCACGCGGGGCGTCAGAGTATGCAACTCTAGCTTCATACTGGTTGCTCTTCATTTTTCCTACGCCATTTGGGGTGGGGAACTTGACCTTTTTGTGGTAGACAGAGGTTATTGCCCTCAATGCCTAGAGGGTTGGTCTCCCGATTACCGCGTTGTACTGGGAGCCTCCTGTTATGACCGTGAAATTGGCCATTGTAGTTGCATGTCGAGGTTTTTCTCCGGCGATTATGGGTAGCCAGATAGTCCCTTGAGGGATGACGGAGTCCTCAGTGAAACCATATAGCGGCCGGGAGGTTTTTTCCAATTGTTCCTTTTGGATCCCCATCTTCTCCAAGCAGTCGGAGTATAAGAGGTCCACCGAGCTCCCATTGTCTACCAGGATTCTGCACACGGTGTGGTTTCCTATCATGGCTTCAACCACCAAGGCGTCGTTGTGGGGGAAATGAACCCCACTGGCGTCATCCTCGTTAAAGGCCACGTCGGTGTGACTGTACTTTGGGGTTTTTGCAGCGGAGACGCTCTAGAATCGCTCCTGATAAACCCCCCTGGCCTCGTGGGCGTAGTCCTTCTGAGACCTCCTTGAGTCACCTCCTATATAAGGGCCGCCGAGGACAGTCCGTATGACGCCGACGGGTTCTCGATCTTCTGGGCGCTGGTTATCCTCTCTGCGCCGACCGTCATTTTGCCCACCGTGGTCGTCGTTGCGAGGTCTCCGCTCGGCCCTGAACTCTTGTAACCTTCCCTCGCGGATCACTCTTTCGATTTCATCCTTGAGGTCGGCGCAATCGTTGGTGTGGTGTCCGACATCGCCGTGGAACCTACAGAATTTTTTTTGGTTCCTTCGGCTAGGGTCTGACTTCATTGGTTCCGGTCGGTGTAGCAAGTTCCCGCGGCCGACCTGATTGAAGACCTCCTCGACTCCTACCGTTAGCTCGTGGTAGGAATCGTATTTTTTGAACAGTCGAGGCTTACAGGTATCCTCTTGCCTCGGCTTCTTGGCTTCTGGGGCGCTCGTCGTCGCGGCGGGCTGCTTGTCCCCGTTTCCTCCACCTCGACGCTTCTTCCCATCCTGTTTCGCAGGCGTCGACCCTTGTTCGGTTCCTTTATTCTTGTTGGTCATGTGCTCGGGGTCGTTTGCGTCCGCCTCTTCAGCGTTGATGTACCCCTGTGCTCGCGCTAAAAACTCCCTGTAGCTGGACGGAGGTTTCCGGTTCAGCTCTCTTTTGAATGGGGTAATTTTCTTCATGCTAAATAAGGCCCCCATCAAGGCCTCTCTATCTGTTATGTCCATCGTGGCGGTGACAGCTTCCCCATACCTTGCGAGCCATTCCCTGAGTGACTCGTTCGGCTTCTTGGATATCGTCGTCAGATTCTGCTTTGGGGGGACGTACTTTTTGACTCCTATGGAACTCCTATGAATTGGAGGGAAAATGCTTCCTTCAACTCGTCCCAACTTGAGATGGAGTTTGGCCTCAGCGTCCGGAACCACCTTCGGGCGGAATCCGTCAAATGGTTTTGAAAGGCTCGACACATGATCTCCTCGGCGTAACCGTGCAAGAGCATGTGCCCCCTGTACATCTCCAAATGGTCGTCGGGATCTCCTCGCCCATCATACGGTGGGAATGATGGCGACTTGTATTTATTAGGGAGAGGGAGCGCCATTATTTCTTAAGTAAATGGATGGTCATATGTGCGGCTGGGCGTGATATCAACGTTTACCACCTCAGCCACACGGCCTATATTCTTTTTTAGGCCCGCTACGTCCCCGGTCAGTTTTTGCTCCAGGATGGCCATTCGTTCCATGATGGCGCGTGCTTCCTCTGTCGAAATGGCCGAGCCGGCTACTCTCGACGCTTCTGCCCCCTCTGAGCGTTAGGTCCGCCTCGGGCTTGGCCGCCTACCCGTACTGATCCTGAGTCTCCTGGCAGGTTTCCACCTGGAGTCTGGGATAACACCTCAGGGTTTCCTAGACCTCTCGGTACCCGGTCCTCGGGAGCTCGGAGTCCGGCAAGTCCCAAACGGCTGCCGGGGGATTGGGAAGGCCGAGGCCTAGGAAGGCCCCGGTGATTCTTCCTATCTCCGGTTCCTTCTTGGATATGTGGGTGGTCACCGTAGTTCGGATCTCCAGCCACAGTAGGTTCCTGCGGCATCGGGACGTCTTCTAATGGCGGCATGGAGTTCCTTCCATCTAAGCACTCCACCATGGTCATAAGCCCACGCACCAGCTCGGTTAGAGTGGTTAGTTGGGCATGCATCTGCATCAGGTCCGGCCGTGGTGCGTCTGGAGGTGGGACTTCGTTTCTGACTGGGCGTAGATCTTCTTCCATCCCGATATTCCCTGGACAGATGGAGATTTATAATTATGTAGTTGGGGGTCGAACGTTTTCAGATCCCCAGCGGAGTCGCCAATTGTTGACGGTCAAATTTCGCCAACAAAAAACCGGCCGGGTTACCTCTTAATTTTCCTTTGGATTACCGGCCGTGGGTGTATTAAACGTGTATGGATTTGTTGAACATGTGTGTTTGTGTGTTAACTAAATCATACATGGACAAATGACACAAGGAATTTTTATAGTGATTCACTCTATAAAACGAGAGCTACATCCACTGTGACTTTGTATTTATGTTTAGAAGGTAATAATTTACAGCCATTGCTCTTCTTCAATCTCTTTTTCTTTTTAATTTCTCAACCCCTGCCTCATTGGGGGTCTTCCTCCTTTTATACTGGGCTTCCTTCGCTCAGGGGGTTTCCTTCCTAGGTGGGAGCACTCAAGTGCCCTTCCTCGGTAGGCCCAGACGTAGCCCACTAATCAGCACTGTTCACTTAGCCAATTAGTCTCCTATTACGGCTCTGTGCTTTTCCGTAATACTTTTATGTCCCCTATGTGGGGCGGTTTGAGAGCTTGCAATTAATGCCTGCAGACGTCCTCCACTGTTGCACGTAACCCGTCACGTCCTCTAAAGAACGTTCCCCTCGTCGTCAGCACTGCTTAGTCCAATCGCCCTCTTCGGTGGCCTTTTCTGCAGTCGAGAGACCTCCATGCCTCAATCTTGACGGCGCGATCAGTCGACGCCATAAAGGATCGTCGCCCTAATTTGGACTTCGTCCTTTGGGCCTTCGCAGCGGAATAGGAGGGGTCCGTAGACGTCGAGGGCTTTTCGCTCGGTGGGGAATAGTCAAGGCCACATGTCGCATTATCGTTCATCCATGTGTCCGTCACATTTTCCCACACAACACATCATATCAGAGTTTAAATTTTAAATCACAACCGTTCAAACTAACACTCCGTTTGGTAAGAGAGAAAGAAGAGAGGATGGAAAGAAAACACATAAAAGAAAGAAAATGTGAAAGAAAAGAATGAAGTTGATTTTTCTTTATAGTGTTTAGTATAATGAGATAAAAGAAAACATATAATAGCCTAAATTACTATTTTATCAATTGTTTAATATTAATTTAGATTTTAAAATATGGACATAAAAGTAAATTTAGCCATCAATGAGTGAATTTGAGTTTTCCTCCCAATATAAGAGAGATAAAAAATGATGGGCTCCACTATAATTTTTTTTCATCTTATTTTCTTTTCTCTCATCTCTTCATTCTTACCAAACAACCAACTCGATCATTTTTCATCTAATAATTCTTCTACTCACTTCCTTCCTTTCACTTTTTCATCATATCAAACATAGTGTAAATATTGACTTTCAAGAACAAATTTTTACTTTTTACAAATAAATAAAGATTGAAATTAGAATTATGAACTCTGAAACCCTGAAACTAAATGCAATTTAGGTCTCGTTTATTTCACCGATTTGAGTTTTCAGTTTTAAGTTTTTACAGTAAAAAGCTTTCAGAAAATGTTACATCTAACTTTTTCTGCTACAATGAAAAGTTTTCAGAAAATGTCACATCTCAGCTCGAATTAAAAACTCAAATTCGCGAAGTGAATGGGGCCTTGAGATTTCTGAAACATTGAAAATTTGCGTTTAGCTTTTGTTATTAGTTTTTTTTCTTTTTTTTGAAAGTCAATTGGTTGAAGATCTGCAAGTTGTATGTGGACAAAATTTGGGTTTGATCTTTGTTTTCTTAAAGTCTATTCGTGAATTTTTGAATTTGCTTTTTTTTTTCGCTAGTAAGTTTGAATATGTGATTGAATATGGGGTTGAAATATTCCCTTTTTTTAATTTGTGTTCGCTGATTTCGGAGATTGGATAAAAGAGCAAATGACATCGGTTGACCTCATAATCTCATTACTGGATCACGTGATTTGCACGTGGTCAATTCCGTACAAAAATTTAACAGCGTTTTTTATTAGACTAAAATTGTAACGAATTTCAAAAAAAAAAATAAATAAATAAGAATTAATCTGCTAATCGCGAAAAATCAAGGAGTCAATGCAAAAAAAAAGTCAAAAAAAACTTTTTTATACCATCCACATTCATTTCTCCTCAGTAATTTTTCATTTTCTCTCTTCCCTCAGAAGAGGGTCTCCCCCCTCTCTCTCTCCTCTCCTCTCTTCTCTCTCTTTCCAGTCGATTTCTATTTCATAAAAAAAAAAAAAGAATCAGAATTATTCTCAAGCATCTATTGTTTCTCTCTTTCCATATAATTTGGTGTATTGATTTCAGTGATAGATTATTATTAGAAAGAACTTTTCTTCAAATCTTCTCTGCCGTCAAGAATGGACGTCGTTGAACAAATACCCACCGCTCTTAACCGCTCTTCACCATTTGTCTATCGAAGATCAGGTATTTCTTCCCTCTTTCAGATCGATCGAAAATCATTTTCTTTATTCTCTTTCAAATTGCGTTTTGGTTCATTTATCTGTTGTTAGGCGATTACCATATCAGAATTTCGTGGAATTTCAGATTTTTTTAATGTCGGTTATGCAATTTTAGGGTGTTTTTTGTTAATTGGAATTTGGGTTTTCCTTTTTTGGGTTGGAAATTTTAAATTTTTTTTTTGGTTTGTATTAGGGTGAAAAGGAGAGTAATTTAGAGAAGGAACAAAGAAGCTTTGGGAATCATGGTGGGATCTGTGTTATATGTTTGGATAAAATAGCGCTTCAGGAAATAGCTCTTGTAAAAGGTTGCGAGCACGCCTACTGGTTTGTCTGACAATTCTATTTATCTTTTTTTTTTTTTAAATTATTACTTTCTGGTTTAGTTTCTTTGTTATTATGTGCTTAAATTTTTGCACTTTAAAAGCTTCTCTTTTTGTTTTGGTTTCTGCTGAAGCTCCTATCTTGTTATTACTTGATGATGATTATGTTTGTCTCATTAATAATGTTGTTCTTCTTTGGTTCGTATATTTGGTTGTTGTCCTATATTTTTGTTTCTTTTGTTTTCAGAATTGTTGTTATGAGGCCTTGCCTTGTTTAAATTTCTGATTATCACATTTTTGGAATTTACGAAACAGGCATGTCAAAATGGATTTCTAGTAGCAAGTCTTTAACTTTTGGCCCGTCTGGTTCATAGGTTTGAAGAGAAAGCACTGTAGCAAAAAGATGAAACAAACGGGGGCTTTGAACTTACTATTCTCATATTTGGGCTCTCACATACAGGCATTATCATTAAACATTAGTTCACTCGTTTGTAAGAGAGTTTTGCTTCCCTGTTCTTGATGTTGGCTATCCTAGGATTGGTCATGCTTAGTTGAGTGCAAGGATGATGACTTTGACAAGAGAAAGTAATATCAGTGTGTGAGCAGTCAAGCTTATTCTCGTCTCTTTTTCAAGTGTCTTTCGTTGCGCAGTTTTTGACCTTGTCACTGCCCTCCTTTCTCCCTCTTTCTCTCTGCCCCCTTCCTTGCCTCTCGTGCACTCACAAAATCGAGCTATGCGTTGCGCATCGAGAATGTGCAAGTGCATTGAAACTGTAAATCATTGATTCTACGTGTTTACATCACATCTTATGCAGAATGCGTTCTCTTTCCGCTTTTGTTTTGTTTTCTGTATTTAGCTATTAAATTGTCGTCGGTATTTCATTTCTGAAGCTTTCAAGCTGAAGAGAAAGACTTGGAGATTCTATTTCTTTCCCTCTAAATTGGAGGGATAAGCTATTACTTTTTAGGGGCAGCTTATGAAGTTCTGCTTTGATTTTATCTGATATGATTATGAAATCTGGTCCATGATCTTATCAATTCTTAAGTTAAGAGAATATCAGCAGTATCTTTAATTCTAAATTTCATTAAGCTTTTTATCTATGATTGGTATCAAGAATGATTAGGACTAAAGCATCATAGATTAGTTTTCCTTTTTTTTTTTTTTTTTAAATTAAACAAAGTGAAGCTGGTTTGATACTGATGACATTTTTCTACTCTTGTTTTCTGCAGTGTGACTTGCATTCTTCAATGGGCAACATATAGTAAGAATCCAACGTGCCCCCAGTGTAAGCATCGATTCGAATTCCTTAATGTTCATCGTTCACTTGATGGCAGGTATTAATCTCTCTTCAATTTCCTGTTTTATTTGTTAATGTGGATGTGATTGTTTAGATCAAAGTGATGGTCTTGTTTATGCGCATCATTGAAAAATATTTAAAAACTTGGCTTATTTATTTAGGATCCATTTGGACTTATTTTAACTGATCCTAGCGCAGGTCTGACATGTTGATGTTATATTGCCTCTTTGAATCACATACATCTTGAAGAATGTTGGCGTTGTTGTTGTTGTTGTTCGGTTGCTAATGTCACTTTGAATTACATTTTAATTTGGTTTACATTTGCTGGTGGATACTTGCAGCATTCATGATTACATGTTTGAGGAGAGTGTTTGTCTTCTCCTGAGAGCTTCATGGTTTAAACCATTGACTGTAGAGGAGCAGGCAAATGCCTACTCTGAGATTGAAGATTTTGATTTCTTCGAGGAAGAATACTTGGAAGATGATCTAGATGAAGTGTACTACCGTAGTTCTTCATCGAGTATTCGAATTGGTAACCGGAGATGGGGAGATAATGGATATGTTAGGGGCGGTCGTCAGGAAGCAAGGCCGAGGCCGGTTTACCAGTCTAATTTTCAAGACTCGGGTGCTGGTAGCTCTAGTCAGTCGGCTCAAAAGGAAGCCGCAAAAAGTAAAACAGGTCGGCGGGCAAAGAGGACACTTAAACGAGAAGCAGCTGACAGAGCAGCAGCTGCAAAACACGAGTCGCATTTGGCTAGGTTAGGAAGAAAATAGTTTCATTTCTTTTATGTACATAATAAGCTGGAACCCCAAATTGACTCCTTGTACAGTTGTCCCTTCTTTTTTTTTTTTTTCTTTAACTTCCTAAATGGGGAAAAAAATCTACTGCAGAATACACTTCTGCGAAATAATGATGGGATTTAAGCGAAACTCTATCAAATCGGTGGAACTAGTGATGCACTGTATCCATCGTTATTTATGTTTCAATTTATGGAGTTGCTTCGATCATTATTCATTTTAATTGAATCTCGTTCTCAATTTAACTTATTCTTTTTTTGGGAGAAAGAGAGAAATAAGTCGACATTTGAGATGAATTAAAATTAATAGGTTAATAGTTTATATAAGTTAATAAATAGGTTAAATTACGGTTTTCGTCCATAACTTGTGTGGTTATGAACCATAACTTGATAAGTTATTGTTCATAAATCACGATTTTCGTCCATAACTTGTCTGACTATGAACCTTAACTTGACAAGTTTGTCTATAACTTCTCTGGTTATGAATCATAACTTAATAAGTTATGGTCTATTAATTTCTATAACTAAAAGTTGGCCTATATACTTCCTTAAACTTTTCATATTAGCATATTTTTTACTATTTTTGTTCTTTTTTATACCGTGCATTGTTTTATTAATCTCTTAATTGAACTTGTATGAGGAGATAGATATTTATAACCAACGGTTAATTAATTAAGCTATCTTAATTAAAGGAGGGAGAAAAAAAAAAGAAGAAAAAACCAAAATTGGTAATTGATATTAACCTACGAATTGTATAACCTTAAATTTCTTTTTTTAAGAGAGGATACTTTTAAAGCGTGAAAAGATAATACAATCACCAATCTAAACACATTAGGGAGTGCAAAAACCACAGGACCTGTTCTTTTGGAGTGTAACTTGAGTGTAGTTTTTGAGTTGAATTTGAGTTATAACTTGAATAAAGTTGAGTAAAGTTGAATAAAGTTGGAACTTAAAAGAGCGTGAACTTGAATAAAATTGTAACTTGAGTTTAAACTTTTTCTGAGTTTTGTTGCAAAATAACAACCCCACAATATTGATAGTTTGGTTCTATCCGGATGGTGTACACTGGACTAAACAAATGAAGAATAGCTTAAGAGGTACACCAGAAACACATGGCTCTTTTAATATTCTCTACGATCAATGAAAAATCTAATGAACCGATACCGAGAAACCTAATGAACCCATACCGAGAAAACCATGACATTAAAACTACATAAAAATGGCAAAGAAGCAAGTACTGCAGCCAAAAGATATAAGCTTAGAGAGATCCATGGACGATTGTTGTGCAGTGTGCGTTGACACTTTGACATTGGTGTTGTACGGACCCTGAGAACATCGAGATGTCTCCTTAACTTGCGCCGCTCAAGTCCGCTTCATCTATGATAATTGTCGTTTTTGCATTTGAAAGACTGAGTCCAACAACATCTTCGTCTCAAAGGAGGGTTTTCAACTTATTAAACAAGTTTTTAATAAACAAGTTTTTGCTTCTTATGATCATTGTTTATAATCCGTATCATGTCTAATTAAAGTGGCATTGAAGACTCCCTGCTTATCAGTTTTAGGGATCAGACTATGTGAGGATAAAGAAGCCTGTAGTAGACTGAGACAATTAGAAAAAAAGATTATTTTGAAAGATTACAGCTTAATTCATATACGAAATTGTAGTGAACAGAAAATTTCTTAAAATAATTGTAACAACAAGCAACATTTGAAAATAAATGGCCATGTACTCTAATAAAGAAAAACAAAAATTAAAGCTTGCAATAAATGACAATTAGAGCATGCAATAAATGTCACCTACATTTTTTCCATGTGACTAAGGCTCCTTATAGGTTTTATGGTATTTTGTTAATTTTAATAAATGCGTTGTTTTTGCTAGGTTTATATGTCATAATAATGGAGATGATTTCTCCACATTCCGATTTTGTCTGTCTAAGATTGTAATCAACGGTGCGTGTCTTTGTATACAGCTAGATTTATAACTAGGTTGTGTCGCTTTTGTTCTTAGTATTTAGGGTTTAGTCTTGGTCCACTGGTCTTATTCATCGACTGTAGTGTTTCTTTTTAATAAGCTTTGGTCGTGCTTAATTTTGTTTGTGCCGAGCGGATCTTTTTTAGTTGAGTTGCAGTACTTATTTTTACCCATGTGCTTCATCTGTTTTCACTGGTGTATTCAGTTAATGTCTGGGGTCTAATTCCCTTATAATAGGTGGTCATTTGCAACTAATTTTAAGTATGTAATTTATTATATTTGATATCAAATTTTCTTTTCAAAAAAAAAAAAGAAAAGGAACATAATTAGAGGAAATAGCAAAATGGTGAAACAACTATAGAGACGGAAGAAGTGAATATACATTTTGAAAATTTGTTTATGTATTTAATTTTTTTTTTTTGTGAAATATGCTAATAATTTTAATCATGAAAATCAAGGCTCCAGTTATTTCACTGATTCGAATTTAGAATTTGAGTTTTGTTATAGTAAAAAACTCTCAGAAACAGTCACATCTAACTTTTTTGTTAGAGTAAAAAACTCTCACATAAAGTCACATCTCAACTCAAATTAAAAATCTTGAATTAGCGAACTAAACGGGCCCTTGCTATTAACTTTTATTCTCTTTTACTTAAAAAATGGAAACTATTCCCTTTCTAAATGTATTACGTTCCTCTAAGATGAAAATAACTTGTGATCGGATAAGTGACATCTACTTAATTTACACTTTAAAAAAAAAAAAAAAAAAAAACCAAGATAATTATACTCAGTGATATAATTTCATATTTTCAATAGAAATCTAACAAAATTCTTATAATATTGTAAAAATAGCAAAAATAATATAATAATTATCATGTAATATCATATTTTGTAATATAAGCATTATTTTAAAGATATCAAATTAAGGGCCCGTTTAGTTCGCTGATTCGAGTTTTTAATTCGAGTTGAGATATGACTTTATGTGAGAATTTTTTACTGTAGCAAAAAAGTTAGATGTGACTGTTTCTGAGAGCTTTTCATTGTAACAAAACTCAAATTCTAAACTCAAATAGGTGAAATGAATATAACCTAAGTTACTTTTATAATATATAAAAAATTTTGTTATATTTCAATTTTATTATTTAAATTTTAAGAAAATAAGGTTACTATCATCTTTTTTTTTTTATCTTTACATTTATATCATTCAAAATATAAATTCGTGCCCTTAAAATTATTTTTTACTGATTCAATAAAATGTATGTATCATTATTCTAAGTAATATTTTCGATTTTCTCCCTTAAATTCGGCCAGATTTACATTTTGGAACTCATGAGCCAGGCCCAAAGTAAAAGCCCTTGAAAACGAGGGAAACAGGAGAGCAACGACAAAGGAAAATGGGGGCGGAGATGAACTCGGCAGTGCAGACAAAGGCCGCCGCCACCGCCACCGCCGCCGCCACCGCCGCCACCGCCGCCGCTAACGCTGCCTCCGACGAGGAGAACACTGAAGCCTTACTCGAGGTACCTATCTCTCTCCTTCTCTCTCCTGATTCATCGTCTCTCTCTCTCTCTCTCAACGTTTTTTTTCTCATTCAGTTGATCAATAGCTTCGCTGAACCGAACGGATTTTCGTCTGTGTGTTTTTTTCTTTGGACAGGCTGCTAGATACGATGACATTGATGATATCATAACCCTAGAATCCAATGGTGTTTCTCTCGATTCCAAGGATTCTCTAGATCGAACTGGTTAGTGTTCTTTACTTCGATCGAACAAGCTTTTATATTTCTTAATCTCATTAATCATCAATTTTATTTCTGTTCTTTTTTCCCCTTGTTCTACAGCTCTGTTAATTGTTCTTGTGCTTTTGATTGACGAGGTGTTAGGAAAATTTAAGTACATGACTTTTTTATTTTTTATTTTTTTAACATTTTTCATAATTGTGACCTGCAATTCTCAAAAAGAAATCCAAACAAAATCCCCAAAATACACCCGTCCGTATTGTTTGAGTAAATTCTAGTTTTTTTCCGTTGGGACACTTTTAAAATGACAGCAGTTTCATTAATTATGAGTTCTTGTTTTATAAGCTTCTTGGCTTTGTTATTTTGGACGGACTAAGTGTTGCGTGATTTTATGCTCGCAAGTGCACATATCGTATAAGTAATAAAGTGTACTGAAGTACATATATTGTCTCACAGAGATTAAATCACCAAAAATATATGTTGGAATTATGTAATCCACAAATTAAGTAAAGAATGAGTTTGACAAAAATTCACCAAATTGACGTAATAAAATGGGTACAAAAATAAATGCGGTCAAAAGTGATTAAAAATAGCAGGATTGTAATTATGGGTTGTAAATTAATGATGAAAATGAACTATATCTACTAACTTCCCCTCAATTGCAAGTCTGACCGAAAATGTTACCGATATGTTACAGCATTTACTATCCCTGTTAACAGAAACTCTTTTACTGCATAAAATTCTTCCGAATTAATTATTACTAAGGTTCCTTAAACCATTTCCAGCATATTCTTATGTGAATCCAGCTTTCAGAATGTAGATCTAAGCTCAGGTTTCTTTAAGTTATGCAAGGTGAATAATATATTCTTATACCATTCACTAATCAACAACCAAGCAAGGTTATTGAACAAGCGTCATTCATGTTAGATCCGATTAAAACTAACCCTTCCAGTATTAATCTTAATCTTATATCCTAAAATTGATGGCCAATCAAGAATAGAAATAGGCATTAACACACATGAATGAACAGGAATAGTAATTTAATAGCATCTCAGAAACAAATTGTTATTCTTACAATCTTGGTTCCATTAGCAAACCTAGCTAAAACAAATTAGTTCATAATGAGATTTACAAGATCCAAAGTTCCAGAATAACCCATGGCTAAATTAATATCCAAATAACAAAAGAGAATTAAGCTAACATATAGAAGAAAGAATTTTTGGCTGGATCTTGGATCTCTCTCTTGTCCGGCCTTCCTTTAGCTCTCTGCCTTCTTTCTGGTGGCCTTATTGAGCTTCCTATAATCCATGCATATCCTCCAGCCCGTTACAGTTCTTGTGGGGATTAACTCATTCTTTTCATTCTCTACAACAGTAATCCCCCCTTTCTTAGGAACACATTGAACTGGACTCACCCATGCACTGTCTGACAATGGATAGATTATCCCCGCATCCAACCACTTGATTA